TGCACAATTTTTGTTAATTACCTCAATTGTGGCTGTTATCCCCGTGATGAGAAACACAACTCCACTTCTAAGTGGGCAGTGAGGCTGGGAGAAAGCTGAAACCTGAAAATCAGCAGATCCAGGGCTGCATACAGACCTTAGCATTGAAATTAAGCCACATCCCAAACATAGGGGAGGCCTCCAAATAGCTCAGACAGCAGCCAGGCAGCCAGGGCCCTCACCAGGCACCGGATGGACGCTCTCCTGACTTGTCAAAAGTCCCAAATCCCAAGTTCTCATTTCAATAACATAAGAAAATAAACACGGGGCTTATTTATAGCACAGGAAAGGGACTGGGGCAGAAGACCTGCTCATTCGGTAATCCGCCCTGACGGGGCCAGATAGGATCCAGACCCCAAGCTCTCTGGTAACAGAAATAGGGGCCGGAAGAGGGCTGGCTGCCAGCATCATCAGGTAAATCTGGTAAAGGCCTGGTGGAGAGACAGAGAAGCGATCTGATCCATCATTCCAGCTCATCAACCTGAGTCTGAGTGCTCCTGCTAGGTTCAGTTCCTGGCGGAGGAAACTAAGGATGGGAGTGGACTCCCTCAAGGCCAAGGAAGGGGAAGGTACCACTCAGAGCAGAGCACTTTGAGGAGAGGAAATAAGAGTCCTTGCATCCTCCAAGCACCGAAGAAGGGGGTGCTAAATGAATACTCAGTCACAGGTGGGACTAGAACGTACGTGTGTACAGTCCAAGGCCACTAACGGCTCCCCCATCTTACAGAGCTCAGGGGTTCCCACTAGAATCGGGGCTCCTTGAGGCCAGGACAGTGTCTGGTCCAGATCTCCCAGATCTAGTACAGACCCTGGTGAAGTATATTTTGATGAATGAATGAACAATTAGAAAAACTGAATGACTGAATAAATGCCCTCACCTCACCTGGACCAATAACTAGTGGGCTGCTCTTCAGCTGTGATTACCAGAAAGCCAGACGTCTGCTGAGTGTGTCCGGGGCTTCGTAGCTAATGGTGCAGGCGGGCAGCTATACATAAACGCCCACACAGATATGCGATGACCTTCGACTTACGATGGGGTCACGTCCTGATAAACCCACGGGGAGTTGAAAATGTAGTAAGTCGAAAAGGCATTTACTACATCCAACCTACTGAGCGTCACAGCTTAAACGTGCTCAGAACACTGACAACAGCCTACGGCCAGGTGAGATCCCCTCACTGCTGCCCAGCATCCTGAGGGAGCATTGTACCGCCTATTGCTAGCCCGGGAAAAGATCAAAATTCAAAACGTGGAGTATGGTTTCCACTGAATGTGTGTAAACTCCACACCATGTGGAGCTGAAAAATCACAAGTCGAAGGCTGTCTGAAGGTGAGGCTCCGCGAACTGACTGGTGTGGGGGTCTCGGGGGACGGGTCGCCCCTGCTCTGTGGGCAGCTCCCACCCACATGTCGCTCCCGAGAGGTCGCAGACAAAACGGTGCTTCCCCAGGCGACGTCTAGCAGGTGCAGCTGCCTGCTGCCCCTCAGAGACCACCAGGCACCTTCCGTCTCTGTCGTCTACCTGTGCCTTCAGGGGCTGGGGAGAAACGCAGAGGCCCAAGCCATTGAGAGAAGGAAGGAAAAAGCTCTGCCCTGAAAAGGTTGTAAATCTGAAAAGAAGAAGATGCGAGACACAGATGATGGTCAGTCACCCTTTCTCGAAAGGGGGAGCGACCTGGAAAGCGGGGCGAGGGGGTCAGACCCGTCACCTTCCCTGTTGCCAGCGATGGTGAGCCTGACATTAAAACCCCGGCACGAAGTGACCTGTGCAGACCCGCACCCCCTCCCTGGAAACCTGGAGCCACACAGCCTGGCCGGGGCTCCCCAAGGTCCACTAATGGAGGTGGAAGGCTGGGCGCCGAGCTGGGACTGCCCGCCCGCCTTCCCAGCGCCAGGCCCGTTCAGATGGTCCGGCTGCGCAGAGCTGGCACCATGGGGCCAGAAGCTGTCCTGGATTCTACTTAGAACACGTGAGGATCAAGCACTGGCCCGGGACGGGAGCCCGGGGCCTGGAACGGAGCTCGGGGTAAGCAGACAGGCCCCCAGGCTCCGTGCGCCTCCAGCCCCGCGGTGGAAAGCTCGGGCTGCTGCCAAAGCGTCCTGGCCGGCCGCCGCCTGCCAGCATGGTGAGGCTGCCAGGGCCGCCCCTCAGGACGGCAGGACGCGGCTGGGGGCCAGTTAGCTCTGTCTCCGCCTGTCTGTGCCAGGGCTGCGTGGGCAACAGCCTGCCGCGGCTCTGCTGCTGCAACACATGACCCGGGCCAAGAGGAATGGAAAAAGCAGCCTCAAAAAGAAGCTACTGTCCCCAAAGCTAAAGAAACCCACCAGGCTCAGGAGGGGTGGTTGATGGGAAACTCCCAACACCCTGAACCCCTCGTCTCACAGCTGGGTTCCCAGGGTCGCCCCGCTGCAGAGCCAGGGAGTCTCACCAGGACAGAACACTTCCCAAGCCCAGGCTCCACTTTCTCCACCTAATTCCGCCCTGGCTGAACCTGTGGAGAGTTGGCCTTTTCTTTAGGACCCTGGTTTGGCACCTGCTACCTTTGGGGGGGCGAGGATCCTCCATACTCCGGCAGAGATGGCCGTCCCAGGGCACAGCTGAGGTCAGGGCGGTATTAGCGACTCCCCCGCGAAGGAGCCGAGGGGCAGCAGCCTCCTCCAGCTCCCAGCCTGGTCAGCGCGGCCGGCGCGGCGGCCCCTCCCGAGGCAGCAGAGAAAACGCCCGCGCCCCGCAGGTCGGAAGCCCAGCCGGACGCACGTGGGCTGCACATGAAGCCAGAGCAGAGCTGGGATGTCCTGGCAGAGCGCCAGGAGCCAGTACAGTGTCACCTGCAGGAATAACCAGAGATTCTGAGAACAAAAATTGGTGTTTTCCTCTTCGATTTCCCAGAAAAGGAGGTTCCTGCCCAAACATGCGGGGCTCAGTAAAACGCGCGATCAGAACGTCAACAGCTCACGTTGCTCAGCAAGAACGGCGTCGGGCCTTGCTCTCCAAGCGGGCCCGCCGGGGCAAAGGCAGCGGGGGCGCACACACACGGGCAGCTGGGGTTCGCCTTCGGTACGGGCCAGCGGGATGCAGTTTCTTAGAAAGAGATTTCTTCATCTAAAACCAGCTGCTGTCTGCTGCAGGCCAGGGCATGGCATCTTAATGAGCATTGTTGTTCCGTTTCTGAAACCAGGCCGTGGCATCCCAAGGCAGACGATCCTACCCAGGCTCACGGGGGAGGCTTGCTGGTGAGCAGCTCAGAACCGTGCTCACGGGGGCGGAGTCACCACCAGCCCCCCTGACTACCTGAATCATGACCGCGGTCTGTATGCCTGTTCTGAATTCCCCTGTGACCAGTACAACCTGTCTGTTCACAGGAGAGAAAGTTCGAGGTCAGTTCCAAGTGCCTAGGATATAATATTCATTCTGTAATAGAAATTCTTTTCTGCTGTGCTGTAAGATCTAACCCCCAATATTTCTGGGGGTAGTGAGGTACTGTAAATGAAGTTTTAACGCCCTTAGAAGGCCAGTGGCTCCTAAGGAGGTGATAAAATCACATTAACACAGCTCCCCTGGGCTCCCAATGATCTCAGACTAAAGAGCTCCTCTTCCAAAACCAAAGGACTAACAAGGTTTAAAGAAAAGAAGAAATGTACCCTTTGGGAGGGAGAACTGGACGAGGGCCCGTCGCTGAGGCAGTGTGTGCAGCGATGTGGAAAGGGCAGACCCATCGGAAGAAGCCAGGCCGAGGAAGAGCCCGGGCGATGTACCATACATGACGTTAGCAGAGCTCTTGGCTTTCAGCGGGGACTTAAATGTGAGGCTCTCCCCCTCCAGCTGCCCCCAATTTGAAAAACAAGCTCGAGAACCACCAGAAAGGTTACCGGCACTCACTGTGTCAGCTACTGGTATCTGGGTGACAAAAGAAATCCCTTTCTCTTGGTTTCTATCGTACCATCCCCAGTATTAGGACTATGGGACCAAAGTGCTTCCCATACCACAGCTGAAGCATTTATTGAGCACCTACTTTGCAGCTGCACCGCACTGAACCAGTCACAGCCTGTGTCTGCTTCTGCAGAATGGAGGACTGAGTGAGCCGGTCTCGTCCCTCCTTCCCGCCACAGCCGCTTCTCTCACGCCTGCACGCGAGAGGCGGCTCTCCTCTGACCTCCGGTCGGAGTGCACAGGAGGGACTCTCGTGGGTCAGCACGATCGCCGCTCACCTTCATGTCACTCAACGGAACAATGGGATGTATTAGTGATCTCGACTGGCACATTAGTGATCTCGAGGCTTCGGTAATTATATCCATATTCCAAGCAAATTGTTATATATTTTGTGTTCTGGGGACATATGTTATGGCTAAAGCCCAAACTGTGGCTAATCTTAATATTAGAGCCAGATAAATCTGTTTCGAATCCATAACATCTAACATTTGCCAGAGTAGATTTGTTCATCAACTGGGCTTAAAGAGGTATAATTCACACATGTGCAGTATTACTAAATGCTGAAATTTAATGATTTAAATATACCAGCAACTATTGCAAAGCAGTTGTTATAGCAGCATTTAACATTAGCCAGAACCTCCCTGGCTAACGTTACGTTTATACCAAGAGAATGAGGGAAACTCTGGCATCCCCCTGGGGTGGGGTCACAGCTCCCTCAACTTTTACAACATGGTACTTGCTAGAGCGACTCAGTGTGCAGCTATCAGAGGCCCTCTGTCTGCCCTGAGAACACCTACAAAAGACTGGCTGGACCTAATAAGGAACAAACAGAGCCTTTGGAGGTTCTGGGAGGCATCTTCTCTTACAAAGTCTAGTGTGGGGATCTTACTCTGCTGGACACACTTGGCACCAGAGTCCCCTGGCTGTGTCTTTCCAGACATGGACATAGACTGGAGTGAAGAGCAGATGCAGCTAAATACACAAAAGGAGATGCTCCTCGGACCACCGATAATGAATGCTTTACACAGAGTAGAAAAAGGAATAAAAAATCATTTTAATCAGAGCAAAGAGCAAACCACAGGGACAGCGGGTGGGGCTTCCAGGATCCCAGTGCAGCAGCCACTCTCCTCGCCCGAGCCCAGCGCCCAGGTCCCAGACACGCGGGCGGGACGAGGGCAGGTCTGCAGCCGTGGGTGCAGCAGAGTCATTCTTGTGTATTAATACTGTGCTATTTCCCACATGAACAACTGTAAACTGACTTGCCCCACCTGACATGTCAAATCCCACTACGGTGTTTGGGTTCTGCACCAAATTCTGGGCTTCGCTTTTCCTCCGAAGAACTCACTGATTTGAAATAACTAAACGTAAGAAAACAGGTCCTCCACACATCCACAAATCTAAAATGCGTGGGTAGGTTTCTTTCCTCAGCAGTCTCCCAGTCCACGAAGTTCCTTTCAGACGGTCCTGTCGGAACTGGAAACAGGAGCCTGAGCTGCACGTAAACCCGGAGCCTGTCACCAAGGCTTCTGTTCAGCATCTTCAGAGAGAAGCCACCGGAGATCACAGAAGCCCAGGACAGAGGACGCCGAGCTCAAGGTGCCTCGGCATCCTCCCGAGGTTCCCATTCTGGACAAAGTAGGTTGGGGCGTACATGCGAAGATGCGATATGTCCATCTTCCACTCTGAAGTCCCCACCCTGACCTCAGATGTGCCGGAGAGGCCGTCTCCTCTTCCTCTGTCCACGCTCAACGTTCAGACCTCCACCCGCGGCAGCCTTACAAGCTGCCAATGTTGGGGAAGCTCTTCAGTTTCTCAGGAAAGTCGTCTTTGTACAGGACGGGGTCAGCTCGGTGCTCCACCACCTTTAGGGGCATTGTCCCAAAGACTGAAGCAAACTTGTTGATGCACTCAGACCTGTGGGGTTTGGGGAGCAGGAGGGCAGGTGAGCAGATGAGAAGGGTAGGGATGGGGGGAAAGAGAGAAAATGTTTAAGAGGCTGAGAGATGAGAGCAAAATGCATAATATTCAACATCAACAGAAGGAATCCGAGCAGCCCCAGCCTGCTCCCAGGTTCTTACAAAGGTTGGAAGGGTGCAGACACAAGAAGTGATGTGGGGGTCCTCTATTAGTTTGGTGGGAGAAAGTGAACAGGGAATGCTGTTTGAAGGGCCTGTAGAGGTCAGGATGTCTCTTCCCCTCCCCCTTACATTCCAATCATTCTTCCCGATCTGCAGGAGCAGGCCTCAAACCAAGGAGGACTAGCTGCCAACAGTCTTAACCCCATCTGTGCCAGCTAAAGAGAGGGCAGTCAGTGGGAAGGAAAAGCCGCTTGGAGCTGAGCTGTAGCTGACTGAACTTCGACAGGCAGAGGGAGGCTCCTACACACAGAGCCATGGAAGGCAAAAGAAGCAAATGGGGCTGGTGAACCTCAAATTTAAACAGTAAACACTTCATCCGTCCGTCCAGCCGACATGTGCTGAAGGCTTGTAAGTGGCCATCTCTGGGATTTACCAGTCAGCTTCCCCAAACTGCAGCTGGTATCGGGTGGGAGAGCTGAGGCCACACGGAGCAGCTTCCATAGGAGCACGTCCGTCAGAACCAGCAGTCAGCAACCAGCTGGTGCGGGCAGCCCAGCTCCACGGTGGGGCGGTTTCCTCTCCCCCACGCTCCCAGCCTGGTGAGCACCCTCCCGGGGGTCAGGTCAGGCACGCTGGCGGGAAGTGGTTCTGCTCAATCAGGCCAACTAGGTGTGACGGCTGGGTAATGAGGACCCTTCGGCATCGGCCAGAGGGGAGTTAAGGCCTGTAAAACCCTCTGAAGTTAAGGGGAGCCCCAGGATGGGTTTCAGAAAGGTCAATATGCTCTCTCAGTTAGGCCCACGGCACCCGAGAGCTACAACAAGAACAAACTAATCAGAGGCAGAACCATTTACCAGGAAGGGGCTAAGTTTCAAGACGCAGACCAGAAGTCTCTCTGTCCTCGAGGTACTGTGAGATTTGTTTCAACGTATTTAAATCAACAAGTTTTCACTTGAGTACTTTGAGCTTTATGAAGAAACCGATTCATAAAGAAACCAGTCATCATTTCTTTTCACTTGGTCATCTTTCTAGAAAAAGGTGTTACTATTTCACTTTGAGCTCTTCTAGCTAATAACATCATTGTGTCCACCAACACAAACCAACAATACTTACTGTGTAAGAGCGCTTTACGTGTAGTAGGGCCCGTTTCATCCTCACTACCACCCTACGGGCGGTCCTACCATTATTCCCATTCTACACGGGAAGACAGACGCTGAGAGGCTAAGGAACGTGTCCAAATGGTAAGTCACTAGTAAGAGGCTGGGCCAAACCCAGGCATTCTGGCTCCTAAGTCTAGAGTCTTAATTATGAGAGGATACAAATTTATTAATTAACACACTTTGAGGGTCCAAGAGGAAGGGCTTGAAACGAACGAACAAATGTTGAGCACCTACTACATGCCAAATAATTTACACACACGATGTCATTGACCCCTTCAAGCTCCCCCTATACGCCCAAGTGTGGGTTTATCACGGCTCCCTGAAGGGGCCGAGAAACTGGGACAGAGTCAATGACTTGGCCAAGGACCAGGAGCTGGAGGGTGGGGCGCCGGGTTCAAGCACACTTGCGCTGCAGCAGCAACCTGCTCTCCGTCACGCTCAACTCGCGGGGAGCGGAGCCTCCCTTCTGCCAGCCGTTTTCTGAGACTCGGGAGCTAGTAGTCATAGGTTCCAAATTGAGAAGAAACTGGGCAAAAAGACTGAGGATTTCAACAAAATGGTATGAAGCAAGCACTGGACAACAGCCTCCCTCTACTCAAATAATGGGGTCAAATTATTTGCAGTGGCACAGTGAAATCTCCCCAAGGCCTTGCTTTTGACAGCTATTCTGCCTATAATCATGCACTGGTTCTTCCAGCTCCCAGTTACTATGCCAGTGGGTCTGGCTAGCAAAGCCCAGCTGTGCCAGGATAGGTACCAGCGAGTATGTGCTCAAGAAGAATCATGGCTCTTGGCAGAGCAGAGAGACTCCATGGCCCCTGGAGATACTGAGGACAATGTCTCCTCTGTAACTGAATCTGCCAACAGGGCTGGGCCACAGGCAGGAGGCCACTGGGGTTCCGGCCAGCTTGACTTGTTGACAGCTGCCCCTGGCTCACCCAGGTTTCGTGAGTACTTCTTTCTTTCCACACAGGCTGCCTGGAGAAGAGGCTGGCCCCTCTGAATGGTAAAGGTCCTGAACTCTCCCGCTAGGTACTGACAATGCTGCCTACTTTCTTTGCATCTGGGTTGGGGAACAGGTTAGGCAGACCAGGAGTCTGGCTTGCTGCTGGGGGCCCACCTGAGTTGTTCTGTCCATCTACCCCATCCGTAACTGTTCCCTGGGTTGGTTTTCTAACTGAGTACAAACAGGCTAAGGACTGCCAATGTCTATCTCTAAAGTCAGGGGCAGGGAGGAGAAAGGACTAATTGTTTTTTGTTTTCCTTTCAAACACATACAATTACCTAAGGTAACCAAGAGCCTTTTGGACTAATGCTGGGGCAACTGGGAAGGAAAGGAATTCTGCCAGGCACTGTGCTACAAGCTCTCGTGTGTTACGAGTTCACTCGCCAGCATATAATACAGTGTTTAGTACAAAGATACTCAATAAATATTAGTTGAACCAATGGATAGACACCATAGTTTGATATATATTAACATCCCCATTTTAGGAGATGAAAAGATGAAAGTTCAGGTAAGGTAAGTCAATTTCCTTAAGTCAGCTAACAAGGGGCAAACTCATAATCTGAACAAAGATCGGCCTGAATCAAAATACTATATTCTTTTTCTTAAATCGACACTATTTGCCTGCCACACCTGACCTCACGGAAGCTACTGGCCAGAATGAGCAGTATTCTTCGGGTTCTTACGGAATGACAGCAGACGCTAGAAATGGATGCTGGGCAGGGCAAGCTACTTCCCTCTGCGACTGAGCTTTCTGATTCTAGAACCCGAAGAGAGAACAAGTACGCTCACTGCACCACAAAACCCAGCACCAGGTTCATAACTTACAAAGAGGTTAACTCCTTTAACTGTTGTGTGCAAAACGTGTATTCTGGAAAGGGAACCATTACAAAAATAAAACAAGTGAACAACTCTACAGCCCATCTATTGGTCAACAATGGATGGCTTAATCGTCTTCTTCCCTCCCAATCTAAGTACCTTATTTAATAGTTCAGTGATCGAGTCTTAATCCAAATAGTTTTACTCCCAGCTTCTGATTCCAAGACCGACTCCCATCACATTTCTCACAGGAGCAGTCTAGCTTCCCCGCCTCTTCTTCCCCCCGTGCTTCGTTCTAGGGCTCTGGTTCCACATTTCCAACTGCCCCGTATCTACACCTGCACATATACAGAGGGCAAACCCCAACCCTACCTTGCTGCTCTCCAACTCCAGCCACGATTAAAATCTCTTCCTGTCCTCGTTAATTATACTGTACAGCTATCCCCCCTCCCCAATTAGTGTCTCCTCCTAACTATACTATGTACACGGTTAAAGGCATCACCATTCATTCTGACTGGAAATCTAGAAGTTATCTCTCGACTCCTTCTCATAACCTTCCCACACCTATCTAGTTGGAAATAAGTTCTAGCACATCTTCCTTTGGGAAAAAAAAACGCTTGCAATTTAATTCCTTCCTTCCTTTCCACACTCAATTTAGTTTAAGCTTCTGACTGCTCTTTCTTCAATCTCTTTACTTCATTCCAGCCTATGCACTACTTTCAAATCAATCTCAGGACAATGTGAGACCAAGCTACCCCCCTGCTCCATGTAAAGAACAGACTGGGAATATAGGAAAACACTACCCCTCCCCCGACCCCATGTTTCTCCTGTGGCTTTCACTAGAGCCTGAAGATGCACGCTCGGCTCCCTGACTGGGGATCCAAGGCAGTTTGGCACTAACGGGCCAGAACTCGATGCTCTAGCCAAACTGAACTTTTTTGTCCCCTAGGTTAACTCATAATTTTACTTCTTCTACAATTTTATTCAGCATCCAAATAAGTTCCATATGTTACAATTGGCTGATAGTATCTTTAAGTCTCTTTTAGTCTGTAGGTTACCCCTCCTCTTATTTTCCTCCAGCTATTTATTTGTTGAAGAAACAGGGTCATTCATCCTGTTCCCACATATGGACTTTGCTGATTACATCCCATGGTGTCCTTTGATATGTTCATCTGTCCCCTGTATTTCTTGTCTATCAGCAGTTGAATCTCGAGTGTTTGTCAGATTTGATTTGGGGACAGAATACTTCCGAGATGAACATTTATCAGGAGACACAAAAATGTCTAATTGTCATGTCCTCTTTTTTTGCTAGTAGCCACTGATGTCACTGCCTAAATTCATTACTTTTTCAGAGTTTGTACAATAGTGATATTCTAATTCTATAATTTTTGTTGTTATTTTTCATTAGCTAGATTTCTACAAAGACTAAAATCTTCTCATGAACTATTTTGATACCCTGAGGTACAGCTGACATTGGAATGAACTTAACTGCTTGCCAGATACACCTAGAACCTGCTGAGGGGCACCTCTGATCACAGCGCCCCTGCCTGGGTCTCCCCTTCCTGCCCAGTGTATCAATTGTTGGGATCCTGGTGATCTTTGAAGGCTCACTTCAAATGGCATCTCTTTTACAAAATTATTCCTAATAATCAATCTAGCACGAAATCACTTCTCTTTCCTCTGATCAATTATAACATTTTGAGCCTCCCTAATGGTATTTATCACACAGAGCTTTGGGTTAACTTTGTGTGTCTGTATTTGCTGTTGTTAACTGTAAACTCTGATATAATTAGATTCAAACCTAATAACACCTGGGAAGCTGCCCATTCTATTTTCTTTCTTTCCTTTTTTTGTGGTACGTGCCCCTAGCAGGAACCGAACCCAGGACTCTCTGGTCCACAGGCCGACACTCAACCCCTGAGCCAAACTGGCCAGGGCTGTCTATACTATTTTCCAATGAGAAGTCCCCACATCTCCCTTACTTACTTTCTTCAGTGTTTAGTAATAAATGTATCTAACTTTAGTCTCTCTCACTGCATTTTAAGTCTCTTCACATTTGCGATGATCTCAGTGGCCAGACAAGAGTTGTTTAACCTTAGCATGAGCTTCAAGGCCACTGTCAGGTCAACCTTTCTCCCTATAATTCCTTTCCCAGAATTTCCTAACCCTGCCATTTTAACTTAGCCCAATCAATAACCAGTTGCTTAATGCTATAAATTCTCCCCAGACACAGAGAATAGTGGTAGGTTTAAACAACAATTTCATGTACTACAACAGAACTATAGTTGGGGTCTCTCTTCCAAATGAGTTATGACTTTCACAGTGTAATTTATACCAGTGACAGATATTTCCAAAATAACAATATATTATTTCACACTGACAGTTGGTAGAAGTCACATAATTTGGGTAAGATATCTTTATATGTAAAAGACAAAGAGATTATTTAAAGAGTAAGAAGAGTAAAGCATTATAGAAGAATCCAGGCCAACTGAAAAGAAACAAGTTTCTGCACAGAAAAGTCCTCCGGGCTTGAAGGATTTTAATACGGCTCACAGATTTCAGCAATGAATGCTGCAAACAGTAGCACGTGAGACCTATGGGAACCCGAACTAGATGTCTCATTCTACAAAGCGACTGTAACATTCTGAGTGAATTCTGGTCCCTTGACAATAGTGCTGCTGGATGTCAAGCTCGCTGTCCTGCATGAGGAGCTGATTTTGGAAGAACTGGGTTTGATTCAAGAGACTCAAAGCTCAGGGACCTTCCGGTTACAGGTGAGAACTACTAGACCTACTACAAGATTACAGCAGTCAGGGAGACATGGGTCTCTGCTCTGTACATACTCACCAACAAGGCCGGGCAGAACACTCCACACAGAGGTGTGCTTGTTGAGGAACTGACTGAATCGAAATAAAGGGGGTATTTCGGAGCTGCCCTGCCCCCCTCTCTCTGGAAATAAAGAGCTGTGCTTTCGAGTCTGTTCTCACTAGGTGTTTCCGTAGTGTTAGCAAAGGTAATCTGTCTCGGGTGGGTTTGGTTTAATTCTTTCTGATCAAACTTCTACTGTAACATGGAGATATTACCCTGAAAAACAATCCAGTATTTCCTTGGAATTAACTAGCTTCCACTCAAATGACTGTGGATGGTTAACTGCTTAGTCTAAATGGGGAATCTGGCTTCTGGAGCTTAAGGCCAGCTATATTTTTAAGATCCTTCCAGCCATTACAAATTGAGTGAGTAGCATTCCAAATTAATTCTTTGGGTGACCTGGGCTTGAACTAACCCAATTCCCACAGTGCAAAAGAAGGTGACTATGGCTACCAGCTGCTGTCCTTATATTTCCAAAAAAGCCCCATAAACAGGCCCAGGGCAGGAAATGGGGATCAGAAGCTAGGGCAGACTGTGGTGAGAGGCTCACTCACCTCTCCACCATGTGTGTCTGGTCGAGGGAAAGCCCATCGATGGCTGTGCACTCAGGACACTTGAATTTCTTTCGCGGTGTCACCTGCCAGAGGAACACAAAAATACCTGGCTGTCAGCGTCAAGGACAATCAAGTTATGCTTGTGACACCACTCTGCATGCTTCTGTTCTGTAAGAGGAGATGCCTGTTCCCTCTACACACACGCACACACACACACCTCACCATTCCCCCATTCAATTCTGTCTGGCTCGGCCAACGGCAGAACTCACAAGGGCCCAATAAAAAAGGCTTGGAGGGCTTTTGCCTTCTGTAACTGAAAAGAAGTGGTGATGACAAGCTCCTTAATTCCTGTTTAATGACTGTTTTCTCACTGCCAAGGTCCTTGTATAAACACCATTTGTTCTTGCAGCCATAAGGGCGATGAAATACAGCTTCCCATAACTTTCACCGTAACCTTAGTTCCAACAGGCGCTATTTCTCCTTATTTCAGCTCATGGCAAATGCTACGAGCAGCTCCGGGCCCTTGAAGATGCCAGGTGATTGCACAATTCCCTTGAATCAGAAAAACATCGAACGGTCCCTTATCCTCTGACTCCTCCTCCCGGATTCACCCCCACCCTCCCAAACCTTAAGCTTCCAGTGCTTTTTCTAGCAAACTCAGGGGAAGCTGCAGAGGGATGGGAAGGAGAGAAAGCTAGATAACTAACTAAGACAAGGTTCAGAAGCAAAGGACACCAGGAGTTAGCAGAGCTAAAAAGATCCTGAAGCATGTCAAAAAGCAAATTTGGAGACAAACTTCCTTTAAAATGAGTTTCACAATTTACATTCTTTAATTTTCTTTGCAGTGAGCTATCCATGGAGTTATTTAGAGAGCGGGGAATAGAATGAGGATTGGGTCAGGTCTAAAGAGCACAGATAGTGGATTTCTCTTTTTCCTTAGTCACCGTGGTTTAATTTGGCTTCTCTCGTCAATTGATAGTACAAAGAATCAATGGGAAGGTTCTATTATGCTTCCGATATAAGCCCCCAGCACAGGAGGCTGCGGGCATGAGGAGCGTGGCCTAGGAGCAGTGCCCACTGCCGCACTGATCTAGTCCAGAAGGGAAAGCTCAAGGTGAGTCCACTTACATAAAAAGCGCGTACTCTCTCCACGTATCTAGGGATCTGATTTGAGCAAAATCTACATTTCAAGAATAGATGACTATCCCCATGGAATCTTTAATATATTATAGGAAAGGTGATTTTTACTGCCCAGTAATCAATATTTAAAAACAATGTTTAGGACAGCTACAGTTGTAATTGTACAAAGTATGGTATCTTCTCAATGTTATAAAAAAAAAGACTGGCTACCTTAAGATGTAAACTGCATCCTTTAGCTAATAGAACTAGATTTCAAATCAGCTTTGAGAATAAAATTAATTTTTAAAAAAACATGATTTATAGAAGAACTATCATAGCCTTTATCTCTGATTCTGAAGTTTAAGAACCAACTAAAGTAATTGTGTAAAAAAAAAAAAAAAAATGCTTAAATTATCAAAGCCTACCCTTCAATTTTACAGTATGATAGGGTCAATCATTGAATCTTAAAAAGTGAAAAGGGAGCTTAAAGCTCATCCAGGCCATACCTCATCTACAGGTACAAGAACTCCCAGGCTCAGAGGGGAGACCTATCTACCATCACAGAGCAAGTCAGTGGCAGAGCTGGACAAGAACGCCTCCTACCTTGATGACAGCTTTCCCCGTGACATTAGCCACCAGGAAATTCATGGCAATGTCTTCACAGTTCATATGAGCATCCACCCAGTTCTTGATATCCCCAGGCATTTTGTAGGTATACAGGTAATTAAAGTACTATCAGGTGAGACAAAAAGAAGAAACATTCAAATATCAGTGCCCTCTGGCTGATACATCAAGTGCATGAGACAAGCTTTCTCTAATAAGCTCAATCGCAAGGCTGTATCAACAGAAAGGGCAAAGGAAGTATTAGAATGTTTTTGGTCAGATGACCAAGATCGTTAATATTGTCATTCTTTTCAAAATCACCTATTGTAAGCAGAGGAGAGGTACAATGTGGAGCCCTTGTAGGGTGCAGGCCCTTTAGACTGATTAAGTGTGTTACAGATACTGTTCAGAGATACACTACGCATTCATCTTTATTAAATCCTTCCCCTGAACTCACAATGCTCAATCCTGCTTTCTCTATCCTTTCCACCGATTGCAAAGAGAAACGGATAAATTGACAGTAGACCGACATTGCAAAGTCATATGCTTTTTACAGTAGAACAAAAATGAGGCAATTCTGAAACCACCATAACCTACACACATAAAATAGTATAGAAATTAATAAGCAAAAAAAAAAAAAATGCATACAATTTACTACCATATACCCCCCAATTATAACCCTTATTTTTTATTTCTTGCTGAGAACGGACAGCATTTCTGGGTCTGGGCCCTAAGCGGCGTGGGGCAGCGCTGCTGAGACAACGAGGAGCCTCAGCACGGGACGGCGGAGTCGGACGGCCTGTGCCGGGCTGAGCAGGTCTTTCTCCTGAGGTCAGTCCTTAAGCCCCTGCGGACAGCGGGCAGGTTGGTACCACTGAGTTAAGCCACACACTTCCAGGGAGCACTCTAATCATCAACAAATATTCTAAAGCCCAGTGCATGAAGCGGTAAGTCTTAGATGAGGAGAAACACAAAAGGTTCATAAATAAGCAAAAGGAATCTCAGTCTCACTAGTCAAGTCAGTTAAACATTAAGGCCCATTTCATGTGCATTTCTCACAAGGGAGGCTATGGTAAGAACGTTTTATATTTTGCTGGTGGTAGTGTATGTTGGTACAAACAACACTGAAAACAGTAGATAGAAATATGTATCAAAACCTTCCAAAAATGTTCATTTCCTTTGACAGAATTCTACTTCTAGGAATCTAACATAATGGTCAAAAGTATAAACAGTTATGAAAGTGAATAATAATTATAATTTAAGCATTAGATATTAAACATTATCTAAAATAGCAAAAAAGCTACATGCAACCTAAATACACAATGACAGAATAATAGTTACACACATAATTTATGGAATACTAATATAATGGTATATTAGCAATTATGTTAAGAAAAATTTGTGAAGAAATGTTAATGACATGAGAAAATGCTCACAATATGATACATGAAAGTAGCAGGTTAATGCGAATCTTTATAATAGTATGTGTGTATATGTGCATAAGTAAATAAATAAAAGGCAAAGTGGAAAAAACATCTAAACAACAATAATGGTTCTCTGTTATGACTATATAAGTGACTTCTTATATAGTAAAATTTGTTCTGAGTTTTCCATATTTTCTATTATGAACAAGTACTATTTTATAACTAGATAAAAAACTTTATTCTTTAAAAAATATCATAAGCCCTGGCCGGTTTGGCTCAGCAGTTAGAACGTTGGCCTGCGGTCCAGAGAGACCCGGGTTCAGTTCCCACTAAGGGCACGTACCTCGGTTGCAGTTTGTCCCCGGCCCTGGCTGGTCATGCGGATGGCAGCCACTCGATGTGTCCCTTTCACATCGATGTTTCCCTCTCTCTCTTCCTCTCTCTCCCTCCCACTCTATCGAAACAAAAAGTGGGAAAATGTCCTCAGGTGAGGATAAAAAAAAAATCATAAAATATGGCCTTTGTGAGACCTCTGAATAGAACATTTTTTAAATAAACGCAGCAAGAATTAAACTGGCTATATAAAATGAGTATCACACTCTCAGTTTTGTCAGACCCAGCTGCCCCAAGCCTGCCCACACCTTACCTTGTGATAAAAAGCTGCTCCCGTGAGCACCATGGACACCTCATTAGTCCATTCAGACTCATACTTCCACTTACTCATCTCATGGTCCCAGAGATGCAGACGACCTGGATAACCCACTAACCGGTCAGGAAATTCCCGCCAGACCTAAGGACAGAAACACATCAACAATCTATTCCCTGTTCAGACACAACCAAGCACAGTGAGTGTGAAGTTATCCAAACAGACTCCGGAGGTTCAAATCATCACAAACTAAGGTCAGAATACACTTCTGAAGATGTTCATTTGAACAGGTGCTAGTTCTCCTGCTAATGTTCAAAGACAGACATTGATTCTGATTTCCTCCAAAACTTCTGTGCTTGCTTGGAAATTTCAAATAATGTAGAGAAATAGCTTACCGAATTGGGCCAAGATAGGTAATCTCTTAACATATGATTAGTGAAATAGGTTCCAATCTTTTTTTTTTTAATCCTCACCCGAGGATCTTTTTCCATTCATCTTCAGATAGAGTAGGAGGGAGTTAAGGAGGGAGGGAGGGAGAGCAAGAGAGAGAGAGAGAGAACGCAACATTGATGTGAGAGACACACATGCATTGGTTGCCTCCCGCAGGACCCCAACCAGGACCAGGGACCGAACCACAACTAAGGTACGTGCCCTTGACCAGAATCAAACCCATGACTCTTTGGTCTGAGGGCCAATGCTGTAACTGCTGAGCCAAACTGGCCAGGGCATGAAATCGGTTCCATTCTTAAAGAATGCACAAATGAAGAATAAATGGAACCCTACAACGAACTCATCTGTCCAGGCTTACTTTAAATTTTGGTAATTGTGAAAACTTACAAAATCTTGGTTTCTAAAATAAAAAAACAATTTCTCTGGAGCACCCATTCAGCCATTCTTATGACCTTCTATGTAGACAATTTGTTTGATACTATAATCTGTAACATATTTAAAAAAACCTTGATTTCCACATTTGAAAATATTCTTAGGTGCAGTTTTGTTAAAGAGAATTTGATAATTGGGGTGAGGTCCTTCTAATACCTTTCCCCATATATTTCTGTGCAATTCAGTTTAACTTTTAAAAGAGAAGTTCATACCATTAATGAGTGTTGACAATTTGCCAGCTGTTCACGGCGGCTGGCTTTTCAGCACCAGGACTCCGTGCCCCTTACCAGACCTCTAAACAACGGCCTGAGGACCTAGCCCTGGGCCCTCTTATTCTTCTTTAAACTCTCTAAGTAATCGTATCCAGTTTATAATCTGATGGCCTCTACATTTATGCTTGGCCCTGAATGTTCCTGAGATAACCAACTACTTAGTATTTTCAACTGAATAAACAACAGGCACCTCGAACTTAACATGTCCAACACTTCACCCTGGATTCCATTTCCCCAGATGAGCATTCTCTCCATCTTCTCCATCTCCATAAATTATCTACTCAACTGCCCAAGCCCAAAAGCTAGCGTCAGCCTTCATTTCTTCCCTTTCTTTTTCCTCTTTCCCCACATCCAATCCACTGCAAGTCCTGCTGGCTCTACTTCTACCTGTTCCCATTTCTACCACCCTCTCTCTAGTCCCAACCACCATCATCTCTCACCTCGGCTGTCACAGGCTTTTAACGCATCCCTTTCCTTCTGCTTTTGCCCCTCCACACAATTATTAAAAGTCTCTAAGAGGACTACTCCTAAAACAGTAGTAGGGTATGCTGTACAAGATCATTCAACCAGTATGCTTTATCCTATTTTATACACATATATACCTAACGTGTATTTTCACTACCCACATACAGGGGTAGGCAAAAGTAGGTTTACAGTTATTCACATGGAAAATACAATAATGAATAAAAATAAGACAAGAATAAACTCTGTGTTTCATGTACTCACACCTGTGACCCTACTTTTGCCCCACCCTGTACAGATGTCATATGGTCACAGGTACAGCAACCAGAGGCTTTCCAACACCCAGTGTCTCTGAGCCCAGGGAGGAGGCTTAGTTGCCTTCCCAAGGCGGGAGCCAGTGAGCTAGCACTTCCCTCTCAGGTTTGCTGGGGCTGCTGTGGCAGTAACAGACTGGGTGGCTGAAAACAACAGAAACCCCCAAGTCCACACTCAAGGTGTTGGCAGGGTCATGCTCCCTCTGAAACCTATAGGGGAAGGATCCTTCCTCGCCTCTGCTGAGTTCTTTTGACTGGTGGTACCAGTCAAAATGGATTAGGGCCCACCCAACAAGGTCCTTTTTACTGGGTTACCTGTGAACAGACCCTATTTCCAAATACAGTTACTTAGAGTTCAAGTTTCAACATATCTCTTTTAAAGGGTCACACTTCAACCCTTAACACTTTTCCCCAATCTTTAAATGTTTCACCCCCAAAACAAAAAAACGTCTTCCTATTGACTAAGAACCACCAAGGTCTTCAGCATGTTCTAGGGTCTGCCACTCTTCAGCCTCTTCTTACCACATTCTCAGACTGCAGCGATTTTCTGTTCTGCACCATGACTAGACCTCAAGCCCTTTGCACTTGCTATTTCTTCTGACTGCAATGTTCTCCCAGCTCTTCAAAAGGCTGGTTCCTGCTCATCAGTCAGGTCTCTGCTTAAATATACCTACTCTGAGACGCCTTTTCAGACCTTCCTAAGGTAAACACCATCCCCCAACCAGGATTCTTCATCACATCCTCACCCCATGCTTTTCTTCACCAAACTCATTTTTGGACATTGTCCTGGTTATTCATTGTTACTTATTTCTTATCTATCCCCCCTCCCCCCACCAGAATTTAAACTCCACGAGGACGGAGACTTTGTCTCATCCGCTGTGGTGTCCGAAGCACAAAGAACAGTGCCGGCACACGCCGCATTCCATACACACGTGTTGAAGGCATGAACGAGCAGACTCTCAGCAGGCAAATGCTGAGAATGAAAGAACGGAACCAGAGAACCTTTCTCTGTTCTTCACAGCCAGAGCCATTATACTCCTTAATTCAGAAAGGATGTCTGCAGCAGTATTGATCAACCGGTACCATTAATAATAATGTGATATCCTTTGTGTGTGAAGATCGCAGTAATAATTCACCATCACTGAAGCACATGTTTTGAATTGCTTTTCCAGAAGCGGGTAAAAGGATATTTGCTGAGTCATTACACTGTCTTGCCCAGTCCTCCTTGTGATCATCTACTACATGCTTTTTATGTGATGTCTGACCTGGGTCTGAGCATGGTCTGGAATTGTGGAAAGAGTTTTCCTTTGTGTGAAACCAGCTCACCTTAACAGGCACTCAAACCCACATCCTTGGCCTCATTAACACCATGTTGTAACCAACAGAGTTAACCGGCCACAGGAATCATCCTAATAGCTGCAGACAAATGAATCCATGTCAAACATTTCCTCAGATGTGTACTGCTGCTGTGCTCCTTACTCTGGGGTTTGTATTTCAGCAGATTAAAATAATATGATACTATTACAGTTTTATAGAGCCCAGAGCAACAACACAGTATGTGAGCCATGACTTCTGTTTGGTTGGTGGGCCTGGGCAGATTCCATTAAAATGCACGGCCAGTTGCCTCTTCTCAGCACCAAGCACCTGCCTGCTGAAGCCACACCAGGGCGGCACTCCGACTCCCCGCAGCGGAACTCAAGGGGCTTCTGAAGGGCTCCAAGCACAAGTAACTGGACACCAGCAGTGGCCAAGGTGGAGGGAAGGGTGAGAGGGGGAGAGAGGGATGTCTCCGTTCAATGGGACCCTCTGCAAGATGGAAGTCGCACCCCCGCCCTTCACAGCACTGCAATCCACGCAAAGGCAGTTGAAATCCCTTTCCCAAGGGGTTCTTCTTCTTTTCAAGGCCCTGTTTCCAGCAATAATAGTAATACTGACTCAGGTTTAGGGTTGAATGCTGTTAAGATTTCAGTCCCCGTCGGGTTAACTGAAGCCACCCCCAGCATTCAGCATTCTCTCCGGAGGGATGCGGTCTGGTGGCACCGGGTCAGACTGCCAGACTGCTGCCCTGAAGGCACCAGCGCCCCGAGGCTCAGATTCCGCGGAGCCTGTGCTGAGCGCGGCTCCTCGTGCGGGGCCTCTCTGCCCTTGACTTACTCCAGGCAGCTGGATACAATCAAGATACCATCCTTGTCACTTCATCTATAACTCCGCAGCTGACTACAGGATCAAAACGGAGAGGAACAGAAGGGGACGGGCCCTCTCTAATCGAGCCCCAGTGTAGCACAGAGCTGATTATGTACACAGTAAAGCATTTTCCCAGCCAGCAGAGTGAGAACTCAAATTCTACCCCCTCTCCTCTTGGCTACCCACCTCCTACTCTAATTCAACTTTTTTCTTTTTACTTCAGGAAAGTGCTCTGGGGTCAGCCTTTTGACATTACAAACAAATGCCTTTATACACTGTAGTGCGGGTATTTCGAACTTCACATTATATCCCTGTGGTTCTAGTGACAGCGCTGGCATAGTTCTCTCAAGTCACAAAGCCACCGTCCCCTTGTGTGCCTAGACTACTGAAGTCCTTCATAGATGGTGTCCTCCTCTAGTTCTAATCACACACATTATTGAAGACAAAAGCCTCTGCCTGTTATAACAAACTCTGTCTTCAGTAGGGGCTCAGCAATAACTTGAACAATCCGTACATTTGGGGCCAGAGACTTTAACAATATAATACCATCCTCCAACTGTTTCTTTCTGATCTAAGTTTTATAATTTTCGTTCTAACCACCTCTTAACAGATTACAAAAATGTCCTCTTCTGGACTCCCAGCTGTGATCACTTGGCTGTTTTCAGAGTTAGCTATTTTTTTTTTCAAAATTTTCTTTGGTTTTTAGAGTGAGAGGAAAGGAAAGGAAGAGAGACAGAAACATCGATGAGAGAAAACACCCACTGGCTGCCTCCTGCATGCCCTCCACTGGGGATTGGGCCCACAGCCTGGGCATGTGCCCTGACCAGGAATCGAACCGGCGACCTCTTAGTGCATGGGTCGACGCTCAACCACTGAGCCACACCGGCCGGGTGCCTATTTTGTTTTTTAATTTCTGAACTTCACAAGGTCTTCTGTGGCTTCCCATTGCTAGAATATCAAACTAAGATCATCTACTGTTGTTTAAAAGGCACAGGGGGCTGCCTAGGTTACTTCCTACAGAAAAGACAAC